CATGGGGCATGTTGTTACTGCATGCAACAACAACCAAACGTTAGTAACGGCATGCAACGGCAGTCAACCAACTTGCCACAGTTGCAAACTTTTCAATAAAAGCAACGCTGAGCATAAATTCGAATGCGTGCCATAATAAGGAAAATTAAATCAAATATTTTCACTAACAAATCCGCATAAATGTGCATTGGTGCAGTTAGAACGTGCATGAGTGGCAAGAGTTTGTGCCACATAACGGCAGCTGCTTTATGTGTTTTTTTCTTGCATTTTGTTTGTGTATGTTATGCACCGCGCGACCCGAGGCTTTTAAGCAATTGAAGTGTGAGCGTGCTGCGGTCGCTGCACAACTGCATATTTATGACACACATTTCGGTTTGTCATAACACGCATTCCCGCGTGTATGTGTGTATGTGTGCATGCACTTGCGTTGACATGTGTTGTTATTCTCAGTGCTGCTTTTGAGCATCTCGTATGCGTAACCTCGCTGCTCACTTTGAACTAGGCGGCACAATTGTACATTTTAATATTATATGTGTTAGGCATTTCGTAGCATACATATAGGCTGCGGCATTTTATAGCATACATGTAGGCGCAACGCACTACTTTCGCTCAAAGCAAACATTTTCAGCGCATAAAAGGGCAGGGAGTTGTGTTGGGTAGGTAGAAAAAAATAAAATTCTCCCGCATGACTCAGCGCTTTCAACGAAATTGATTTATAAATCACGTAATGCACATAATGCAAAGACAATGTAAGGTGCGCATAATGAGCAGAAGAGCGCTGCGTTGGTTTCTCCTACTGTCAGCACGACGCAATTTGTGTTTTCTTGTGTGGCGGAGCAAAGCGTGGGCAACGAGTAACACTGACACGCATTAGCTCTGCTGTGGGCCGAGTGTTGATGTGTCGCGGTGACGTGGATGGCAGGTGCGTTGCGTGACTTGCAAAGTGTTCAACGCTCTGGGGATACACTTACGCATATGTGTAGCATATACAGTTGCATATAAGCTCTACATATATATAGGTACATATATACATATACAACTATATATAAGTGCGGAAATCTGCTTAAGCTATGCTGTAAATCAAAATTATGCCTTATTAAGCATTCTACATTTGCAAGCATTGAAAATTTTCGTATCTTACAGTGTATCAGTTTTATATAAATTGCAGTCAAAAAAAAAAAAATTTGAAAAAAATATGCATTTACAAAATATTTAATTTTAAACATATGACTTTCAATTAATAAGAAAATCTAAATTTTTTAGGAATTTTTGAGTGAAATTTTATTAATTTAGAAAATTTGAAGTTTTTAATGTTCTTCTACGATAACTACGTTAGCTCAGGTTCTGCTCGGTTAAAGTAACTTTACTGAAACTGTCAACATTTATTTTTCAAACCACATATATGACATTTATGGCAGCTCTTTTTCAGTGTTGCCACATAAGTTTGTTTACGTAACTCTTTCGTATTATTCCACTTTAACTTTTATGATTCTGAAGTCAATTATTTCATTCATTTAAGCTAAGGTCCATGCAATTTAATTGAAAGATTTGTTCTCGAACTAAAAAAAAAAAAACACATTTTGTGAATTATGGCTTCAGAGAGTTAATGTAGTTTTGCTAATTTGGTCAAGATTATTATTTTAAAAAATAACTTTTTCCAAAAAGTCTACCAATTTACCTTTCAAAATATGTTGTTTTCTAAAGTTAACAAACTATTTTATGCCAAAATTTATAAAATATATTTTTTATACAAAAGTGTAATTTTTTGTGGCAATAAGTACTAATAATTGGGTATTTTATATAATTTCTTAGCTAAATAATTTTTTTTTGTGTTATAAGAGTATATGAAAATTAAAAATTGAGAATAATACACTTTTTGAAAACAGAACATACATAGTTTTTAAATATTATATGATATTTTTATCTCATCCACATTTTTATTTGAATCATATAATGCAAATATAATTTTAAAAAATATGTTAATTTTTATCTGCTATGTAAGCACTATAGGATTATAAGGTGCGTATGAGTAACTTTTCACAACGTCTTTTAATCACAAAAGAGTTTCTATTGGAAAAATGAATTTTGAAAAAAAGTATTAATGAAATAATAATATTAAGGATGGTTTCTGGGGATTTTCCCATATCGGAAATTTAAAAATTTATGGCTACTTATTAACTGTTGACAAATCAGGCTTCTTTGGAAGTGGTATAAAAACTTTCGTATATAAGTCAGTGCTCCAACCAATCCATAGCATTTTTAATTATGCAAATTTATTTAATCAAAAATATAAATATCTTTTCGAATGAAACACTTTTATAAAATTTTTCAACATGTTCGCATAAAGTTAAAAAAATACGACGATTTCGGAATTTAGGAAATCCGAGCATAAATTTATGAAGTGTTCATTGACGGTTGACAAATTTCGCGCCTTTTGGAGGCAATATAAAAATATACGTTGACGGGAAATCCTCGAGGAAGTCATAAAAACTATAACTAAAACGAAGTTAAGAAATATAAAATTAATTTTCTATAGCACTGCTTTTATACAAAAGTTGAGTTATAAGACTTCTCCTGGATCTTCATAAGTTTTCTCCGGACTACTGCGCCTATTTAACCTTTAAATTTATTTTATTTAAGAAATTCGATAAATTATAATTTCAACATATTTTCTTCTAGCACCCACGTTATGTCATATTAATCCAAAATTTTACAATTATAAATCCTAAAAAACTCCCGAGCACTATGCAGAAGCAACCGCAATCACAGTTTACTTGCTGATGTGCCTTCAACGTAGAAATATGGTATTCAGAGCGAAACAAAGTAAATAACAGAGAACGTTGTTGTTGCGCGCATTAACAGTTTCGCACTCAGGTTGTTGTGTGCGAGTGCGTTAAGGGGCATAATAAAGTAGGCGCAAACTAAGTATTACTACTAAGTACGCTAAAATCATGAGTCACACAGGACAACTAATGCTAGCCAAACTGTTGAGCTGAATATCTTACGAGCTGTCTATTTTTGTGCTTTTATTTGGTATTTTTGCAAAATATGCAGAATAGAATTTTGATGGTTATGCTGAATTCTGCAGGGAGTTTAAAATGTGCAAAAACCATTACGCTTTATAACTTTTGTGTACTCGATGGTGGACTAAGGCTTACTTTCACAAATTTACCGTTAAGTAGATAATGCTATTATTTTGGTGAATAGGTGAAGGGTGGAGATATATATTTTTGTAGCGAAAAAATGTAGGGTAATGGTTGATCAGTTGTTGTTATGCCTTTTTCATGCCTTCTAAGCAATGAATTTCGTAACAGTTTTATGTAAGTATGTATGTATGTATGTAAAAGAACTGCTCTTTTTGGTGTTTAGAAAAATTCATAAGGGTTAAAATAGTTTAGAAGAAAAATGATATTTTGCCTCTTGAGGTATGCAGCAATTATTTTAACCACTTTTATTATACCCTGATATTTTTTAGATTTCTTATTTATGAAGAAAATTGTAAAGAACTCAGTAAGGTAGATAACAAGTGAAATGGTTATATATTAAATAATCTTTATAAACATTTTTAACTTAAAATTTCGAATAAGTTTCAGAAAATCGCATTCTTAAGGTATGCTACAACTATTTAGCTCACTTTAAATAAATTCTAAATAGTTTATATTTATGAATTTTTGAAGTAAGTGAAGAAAATGTTTAAGATTAATATCCTAGTGTTATTTCCAGCTTCTGTTTATGTAGCAAACTTTCGAGCTGGAGCACAAATTACATATAAGCCCTTTCTTAGACCAAAAACTTCTTCCCGAAGTGTGTTTAGCATAGTTTATATGAGTTTTCGAATATGTTATAGGAAATTATTTATTAGAAGATTCAATAAGTGGACTCCAAGTCTATCAACAACGTCGTAATCCACAGATAGTAAAAAAATATATATTTAAATTGCATCTTAAGGTATGCTACACTCCTCCGGTGAGGTACTATTTCTGATGCCTACAAAATTTATATTTTTTCTATATACTATTTATGTTCTACAAGCCTGTATATGGCTTTCTGTGCCTCAAGGTTAAACACGTTTTGAACATATGTCTTTATTTTATTTTTGAACTAGACAGCCAGAAAGCTTGAATATTGCGAATAAGTCCTAAATTAAACAACCAAAATGGCAGAAAAGTAGCGACAAAAACGCGCTAGCTACAGCAACAACACTGTCGCAAAGCATTTGTTTGGAGACAATAAGCACATACGAGCTTGTCTCTGCTGAATGCAATTGTGTTTTGCATGTGCTTCCGCACCATTTTAGATTTGTGGTTATTTGCATCGCTTGGGAGGCATTTTCATAAAAAATTTATGTAATTTCGCTTCGAGTTTATTTTTTTATTATTATTTTTTTTATTATTATTTTTTTTATTATTATTTTTGTTTGTTTTTTACACGCTATTTTTGCTATGAAATATATAGTTGTGTGATTGTGGCAAAATTTAGTCCAATGCTCATAAATCTCTAGGGTTTATGTCGGTCGCTCAACGTTAGTCTCAGCTGTGCTATGTTACCTTCTCAACTTTGTTTTTTGCTCATTTGTCTATACGCGAGTCTGCTTGCCTTTGGCGACTCATATTAATAAATAAGTTATGTTTTGTGGTTGCAACAGTTGTTGCACACTTATAGGCGTATGAGCTAGCAGTCAACGGTGAGTTGAAATTTTGTTTGTCATAGTTTTATTTCCATTTTTAATGGTATATTTTGTTGTTTGCAGAAGTATTAACTTTTTTGCCAACAGCTTAGTGTTTTCACAGCGCTCGTACGCTATGCTCACAAAGCATACGCTTAGGCGCATCAGCCTAAAACATTCATCAATTATTAATTATGACTGTAAGTATTGCGAAAAGCCACTATAGTAATATTTTCACTTTTTTTTTTTGTATTATATTTTTTATGCCATTTGCTTTATTCCATCAGCTAATAACTGGTATTTAGTAAACATTTACATATACAATAATACTTACATCGCATTGTGATGACGAAATATTTTTCAGGTTCAAACGAAACACGCGATCCCTGTGGAGACATAAAAATCAGTTAATAGCGATAAAGACCAATAAATCGCCGCCGCTGTGGTCGGTATTGAGCTTATTGGGATTGGTTGCATAAAAAGTGCCTCACAGAGAGGAGGTTTGTTAATAAAAAAAAATTTTTTTTTTTTTGTAAAACTGATATTAAAAACTCTTTCAGTAACACAACACGGCGATTTGGAGCTTTTATTTGTTTTCCATATGTTACTTACATGGCACCTACGTAGAGCGTGTCCTTCGCCTCATCCATATGGAAAGTTCGGTAATATAATTTGCCGCAGTTGAATTCGCGTACATGATCTGTAAAAAATTTAAATAAATGATTTTGTTAAAAATATAAGTAATAGTAATTTAGTAATGCTAATTTATGAGTTTCCAAAGCGCTGAAGCAGATGTCGTCAAAAAAATAATGCATAAAAACGTTTTCACTATGTTGTTTCATTTATTATATCTACACTGAGGTTTTTTTCGGTACTCGAATATCTCTTAACGAGGCATTCGATAATAGAAAACAAAGTAGAAAGAGCTCATTGGGCTGTGAGCATAAAGGAAGTCACGATGTTATATTCCAGGAACAGAGTAAATAATTTGTGAAAACATTTATAGTTCAGCCTATTGAATATTATTTCGCCATGTCCGTCTGTCTGTCCAATTGTCCCCCCGTTTATCAGAAAACGCTCTAAAATTTTTACATCACCTTTTCCCCTAGGAAGCTGCTTTTTTGTCGGAACCACGATAGCATATAACTTTCAGACAAACTGAACATAATTCAGTTTTTGCTTTGAAAAGTTTTCTATTTGACAACATATCTTCATAAGATTCGGCACCGATTATTGTCCAAAGCAACGCTACAACTTCCAAACAAATTATTCCCATCGGAAGCATAGAGCACATAACCGTCTAACTGACCAATCAAAATCATGATTGAGCTTTCTATAAAAAATCGTTTTTCCTTATTAACTTGACGGTTATTTAGATAAAACAATGTGCCTAGAAAGAATTAGCAAAACGTTTTTTGATGGTTGCAAGCCGTTGGCCGATGCTATAAAAATGCAGCTGTGGAGTGTATTATAGTTTAGGTACAGCTAACACTAACATTTTTCTTTGTTACTTGTATATTTGTTATTCTTCAGCTCATCAAGTTTTGGCGAATCGGACAAACACTTGTTATAAATATATACAGACTAGCTTAAACAAACATAAGTTTCATAGCAATCACTTATCATGTGATATGCATACGCTTTATTGCATTGAGTTAAAGTGGATCATTTTTAATTGCTTTCACATGTAGATATCTTGACAATATAGCAGAGTTCAAATATAGCGAGCATAGAAGTGGAGAACCTTTGTGGAGGAACTGGAAATGTAGGTGGCAAGCCAGGAAGAGGGAGGAATCTCGTAGCATCTAAAAGTGACAACAAAGCTTTTGCTCCCCCTTTGAGAAGAAACCGCTGCTCAGCCTAAGAGAAGCTAAAAAAATTAGTTTAAAAAAGGTTTAGATATATGTATCTCTAAATACAACATGAAACAGACTTTAGAGATCTGGCATGAAGCGCAGCATCACTATAATCAAACCCCTACTTTCAAAAACACACATTGAAAAAGGGTTGTATTAGACGCTGGAAAACATCAACCGTGCTTGGAGCAATGTAATATTTAGAGATGAGCCAACGTTTGTAATGTTCAACCTCTCGAGAGGTGTTTGACTACGAAAAGAACAAACAACTATTCAGTATTGTGTTAAACATTTGAAAACTACATTTTTATGGATGCTTCTCTGCTTATGGTGCATGATTGAATACTGCAAGAAGAAAATGATCCGAGGCAAGAGGAATACCATATTGTTACTTTAAATTGGCCATCATAGTCATCAGACGCCAATTCAATGGAAAATGTTTGGGCTTTAGTTAAAACCAAAATATCAAGGAAATATTTAACGTCAACAAAATATTTCATTGGATTACCCCAAGATACCTTGAACCGCTTGTGTATTGTTTATCTTCTGTAGTGACTTAAAAACATAAGGCATGAAAAATTTCAAAAAAAAAAAATTATAAATATATAAAGAAAATAATGTATACATTTCCTCATTTCCGTTACTCTATTATTTGGCTGGTGAGTTGTTGTTGTTCAAGTGTAAAGGAAATTAAAACCGAAAAATGCCAAATTATTTATTTGGTAGGGGTCGATGACAAAAAGAAGCATGCAAAGTAAGAAAAAGCTCAGAAAGGATAAAAAAGTAATGAAGAAATGAAGAGTCAAAAGAAAGATGAATTTTATTTTTATGTTTAGAAATTACTTTTTTTCTGTTGCTTATAAATTTTTATTCGAATTTCGCAAATACAACGTTTTGAAAAAAGTATTTTTCAAGCATAAATGCGCATGGTAGTACGTGTAATAAATACTATCCCTTAAACTAACGAGCTTAAGTTCACATATACATTAGGGTGGAGCAAAAATTTTTTTTTTAAAATCTGTAGATTATAAAAAAAGAAAATTTTTGGACGAAAAAGAAATTTTTTTTAACACTAAAACGCACTCAGCTTTAAAGTAAATTTTTGATTTAAAATTTTAATTTCATAAAAAACTTTTAATAAGTCTTTTAGAAGCTGTGGAGAGTTCTCTTTCGTTTCCAATTAAAAAATTTCCTTAAGCGTTAAAATAAATTTTGAGTAAAAAAAACGTCAAATTCGGTATATTTAAAGAGTTTAAACTAAAAATTATTTTTTTTTGTCCAAAAAAAATTTTAACTCGAAATTTACTTTAAAACTGAGTGCGCCGCCTCGAGATGTTAAAGAAAATTTCTTTTTTTTAAATCTACAGATTTTACACCAGGCTAAGCTAAAAAAAAATTTTTTTCGCTTCACCCTAATATACATGTAAATAAATTTGAGAACACAAAAATTTTCCGCCGAAAAAATGCTAAAATATCGCAGATCAGCTTTCCAAAGCCACCTGATACATACTCATGTACATATGTGAGCACAAAGTACTGCTATGAATATTTCGACAGCAAAACAAGCAAGTAAAATTAGGAAATATTGTTACATGAAAATAAACGATTCGAGTACTTTCAACAATAAATGAGTTAAGGATGCGCCAATAGCTAGCAAAGGAACAAAATAACCAGTTGAAACTGAAAAAAGTAACAAAATCTGCTCAAATTCATAGACAGGCAGGGGTCAAACAAATTCAAAAGCTGACCATTCATTGATTTGGAGCAACAAAATATTTTATTTCACTTCATTTTTGTATTCTACAATATTTTCACCGTCCTATACACCGGCTTATGTGCATTTTGCGGCTATGCTATTGTATTTGTAGATAAATATTTGTTGTATGTGAAATGAAAAATTGATATGCTTCATTCGTTTGTAAATGAATATGGCCGTAACGGTATTGTATTTCAATACATGTGGAGAGAATGTCGGTGGAAGAATCTGCGGAGAGGAGCGATATAAAATATTGCCAAATGAAAACGAGTTGCAGGCAGCAGTGACAGAGAAATATATACACACGTACACTCAAACATAGAAACACACATATTCGCACATATACTACGTAAGCTCGGCACATAAAATATCTGCATTTTTATATTCCTTTATCATTTGTTTCTGCACAAAAAAGGTGCAGAAAAAGTATGCATTCCGACAGTTCATAAAAACTAACGGACTAACATGTCCCGCAAATTCGGACAAAATGAAATTGAAATTCTAATCAATTGACAAATAGCCAAAGGCATTAGTTTGAAAAATTGAATATCTCTGTGGCCCGTTTTTGTGGCAGGGTGGTAGCTTGGCAAATTGAAGAGTAAGAAAAATTGCAGTTTTTTGGTTCGAAGAATCACTTAAGCGACTTTCTCCTTTAAGTGATTTAGGTTACTCATACGCCATGGATTTTTTTACTTTGCAATGTAGTTTTTATAAAATGAAATAAAAATGTATATGGCGTATGATAAACCAAAATAACGTATTTTTAAAATAAAAATTTATATATAAAAAAAATTTATATAAAAGTAAAAGTTCTGCTTTTTAAATTTCACTTAGCCAGATCGTCGTTGAGCTCAGTTTTCTATATTTTCTACGTATTTCTAGAAAGAAATTTGTGCAGAAATGTTATGTACGACATTTTGCTTAGATTGAAAGAGTCTTTCATGACCTAAAGGGTATCTCGGATTATTTGGCTATTTAAATATTGTAAACAAGAGAAATCTTACTTTAATTTTTCAGCCTTGTTAGACATTTTCTGGTATTAGAAATATATTTTCTGAAAAATTAATATGCTCATTATTTAATCCACTGGTTTGAACTAACAGTATAAACGTTTTCGATTCACCATTTCTCTGCTCGCTATCCTTGAGAGCTGTTTTGCTTTCAATAAATATATATTCGGTTGCACCGAATCTATAATACACTTTACAAATACAAAAGATTCCTTCCAAGATCTTGATTCCAATCGTTCAGTTTGTATGGCAGTTATATGCTTTATTGAACCGATATCGACGGTTCCGACAAATGATCAGCTTCTTGTGGAATAAAACACGTGTGCATAAGTTCGATATCCTAAAAACTGAACTGGTTTAACTCGGTTATATACAGACAGACAGACGGTCAGACAGACATGGCTAAATCGACTCAGCTTATCATGCTGATTATCTTCTCCAACGTCTGTCTCTACCCAGGCTAGCAGCTTGGGCGCTCTTCATTACAATTTTCCCACTGAGGAGGTCGTCTTCGCGCTCTCCTAAGCAATCTGGCGTCGATCCATTCTGCATTATTCTTTCTGCAGCTTAGTGTCTTAAGAAGGAATGATATTTCACTAATTGGTCTATATTCTTTTGAATAAAGTAAAGGATTCTCACCCGTCTGTGGTATAAATCTGAAGCTCGCCTCTTACCATAGGATAGCTGCAAAACTTAACTAAAGCATTACTCATATATTTTCATCAGCATTAGCATTCTTCAGCATTTTCATACTTGCTGATACTTTCTGCACCATGGCTGGGAAAATACCATCTATACCAGGGGATTTAAAAGTTTCAAAGCTGTTCAGTGCTCAAACTATTTTGTTCTTCGTTATAATATCAGAGAGAACGTACTCTAGGCTATTTCCAACAAGTTGGAAGTTAGTAGCGTTCGTACACGCTGAAAAATGTCTGTTGACTAAGTCTTTCAGTGATTGCTCACTACATAAAATTCACTCTCCACCTAGGGATAGTGGGGTGCTTGGCTAGTAGTTTTCTAATCCTAGCTACATCGGTTGTCTTTTCTAACTTGTCGCAGTAACTCTTTTACGACTCTA